GGGAAAGAGAAAACTTGGCTTGAGGACTTCAGAAGCAGCTTAGATGGCCTGGGCTCTCTATAGTTGTTGGAGAAGCTAGTCCTTCTCTGGGCTCAGATCTTGCAGCCTTACCTCAAAGTTGACATGGCCGTTGGGAAGGCGGTTGGCACACCCCTCATTGAGGAAATAAATATCTTTGATTAAAAGACTGAAGAATGGTATCACAATCTAGAGAAAACAAAAAGCTCTGGTTTGTTTTGGGCAAATAAACATTTAGACTCTCATCAAACAATATAAGAAGTTAATGAACAGCATTGACTCTGGATTACAGAGTAGGCTATAATTAATTAAGACAGGTACAGTGTTTCCTTTGCCTCCCATGAGAGCAGTTTCCTTCTTTACATAGTTTTGCATAACATGAAAATGCTGTTAATAACCAAAATGCAGCAAAGATGGGTGGCACTGGGAGGCAGACTGGCTTCACATTGTTGCTAGTTTCCCCCATTTTTCTCAGGGCAATAGCATATAATCAAATCTGAGAGTTCTAGCTATAATCAAAGAAAAAACATCTAAAAGAACTCTTACTTTTCATTTAGTTAGAGCAAAATATTAATAGAATACCTGCCACTGCAGGTACTAAGAGCTTAAGATGTGTGACCCATCTCTCTGTGAGAATCTGTACTGTTTTTATCATTTAGACATCTACATTTTAGATGAACTTTTTCTTAGAGGAACATTTTCTTTTCCCTTGAAGATACTGCTCAAGATAACGTGAGAGCACAGGGTTTTTGGTAATAGTTGCTATAAACTTCCTGTTGAGTAAACCTGGCCTTCTTGTGACACAGCAGGTAAGCACCTGTTCTCATAGGAAATCACTGAAGTGGTACCTTGCACAATATGTTGTGAGGCAGGCCCAGGTGAAGGAGGAATATAAATGTGCAAATTAAAATTAATGGTTGTTTCAAAAACAATGCGCCTTCTTTAGTAAGACTTTCCTGCCTCACATCTTTGGTTTGATATGGTGGTATTTAATTAATTAATCTAAAATAATCATCTCTAAGAGAGTACTCTAAATTCTAGGAAGCCCAGAATGAACAAGGAACATAGCTCTTTGTTCTTCCATCTTGTAACTTCCACTTTCTCTCGCCAACATGCTTTTGAAGATTCTAAATGTGCTACAGTGTAAATAAGGCTGCAGACACAAATCGTGGACCTATGTTGTTTACCCAAGAGCAGGTTTTTGAAGATTCCCTAAGCTTATGACTCATGTGGTACACCTATACTAGATGAATGACAGGTCCGGAAAACAAACATTTTGGCTCGTACTTAAAAACATTAAGTATCAATTTTCACTTCTAGGGGGAAATTCAGATTTTTGCCCTAAAGTCATTTAAAAAAAGATAGGCTTTGATTTTTTTTTGTTTCGTTGATCTCTGAAAATAGCCAAAATGAATCTTCAATTTCGACAGCCCTTTTGAATATACTTTTAATCATTTGCTGTTGTCTGGAAGTCTCTAAACTGAATTCGTAAAGATCCCCTCATTACCTTCTCCTTCAAATATTACTGACTATATCTCTATTATTTTAGAACTAAACAGCCATGGTAACAAGGATAAAAGCACATCCGAACTTCACTTCTTTGCAAGACCACTTGTCACTGGGGGGTGCTGGGCTTTGGCTCTGCTAGACCTCAGTTTAAAATGTGGCTCCACAACTGACTGGACGTACAAGCCAGGAGTCCGCCACCTGTGGCCCGAGGGCCAGTCCACCTCACCACCTGTTTTGGAATGGCCTAAAAGCCATACATTTTACATTTTTAAATGGCTGGGAAAATATCAAAAGAATAATATTTCATGAGCATGAAATTAAATGAAGTTAAAATTCCAGTGTCCAGACAGCTTTACTGGAAAACAGGCATACTCATCCGCTCACCTGCGTACCGTCTATGTCTGCTCTTGTGCCACCACATCTGAGCTGAGTAGTTGCAACAGAAACCGTATGGTTTACAATGCCTAAAATATTTAGGATCTGGCCCCTAAGAGAAAGAGTTCGCCAACCCCTGGTATAAGGCTAAGAAAGCCTAGTTTCCTCACCTTAAAATGGGAACAATACCTCACTGACTTGTGGTGAGGATTAAATTCAACAACACAGGTTTGACCTCAATTAAGCACTCCCCCAAAACCAATGGGCCCCATACAACGGGATAAGTATTACTGATGTATCATCATAAGGAAAATGAGGACTGAATTATTATCAGGATGCAATATCTGCCTAGTGTAACGGCTTTTAAGCAAGAACTTTACTTCTGTGCCCTGTTCTGTAGTGCTGGGCTGTGAGATTCATGTGGTGCTGATCACATGAATCATTTTATATACATACATACATACATATATATATATATATATATATATATATATATATATATATATAAATTTTATATATATACATACATACATATATATATATATATATATATATATATATATATATATATATAAAATGGAATAAAGAAACTGTAGTATATATGCTTGTATGTATATATACTATATATATGTGTATATATAAATATACAGACACACACACACATTACAATTTCTTTATCCATTCATCCATCAATGGACATTTAGGTTGTTTCTATATTTGGCTTTGTAAATAATGCTGCAATGAACAAGGGGGTACATGTATCTTTTCTAAAATATAGTGTTTTTGTTTTCCTCGGATAAATACCCAGAAGTGTGATTGCTGGATTGATCCACTATTAATTGTCTGAACCACTCTTCCAAGAACACAGCGATAGAAACGATCTCCCTGATGATCATTCCTGCACTGTTCCTTATGCCCATGTGCCAGACAGAAGTCTCACAGTCTTCTTCAACGTGTCATTTCCTCATGGATGGCTCCCTTCAGATGTGCAGCCCCTACATAAATCTACCACTGTAAAAATCGGGAGACTATGAGGGCTTCGGATTTCCGGAGTGAAGGTGGATGTACAGGCTACTTACAGGAGCAAAAGTTTGCTTTCTGAGAGGTCTTTCAATGAAGGCTTTAGTGGGAGAACGTCTCAAGTAGTAATGTTCTCTAATTCCCTTTCACAATATTTTCGGCAACTACACCCTAAAGGCATTATCAGTTCCACAACTAGAAATGAATGCTGATGATCAGAAATGGAATGGTGAAAGGACTGAAAACCATGCACTTGTACGAGAAGTGGTTAAAAACCAGGAGACACAAGGACTCACAGAAAAAAACAGCAATTTAAAGATCATTTAATGGCCCCGATGTGAAAGACAGATTTTTTTCTATATGGTACCTAGAGATGTGCCACATTGGCCACCTACACATAATTCAAAGAATATCAAAGATTATATTACTTTATTCACGCTGCCAGGAAGACTTTAAAATAGGAACTGACTTAGGAATAAAGAGAGTCTACCCTCACTTCAAAAAAGAAAACAGAATCCCAGTTCTCTTGAATAAAAGATGAATTTTTATCCCCAAATGTTTTCATTCATAGCCTTTGAGACCACTTGTGAAAAAGAAATGGCGTATTGCTTTAAATTGGTGGTGGGATCATTTGTTTTACGAACTACAGAACACAATCCATACACTCACACAAAACTGGTTAAAAAAACAACAAAACTAAAGCAGACAGAATTTAGTAAATGATGGAAAGGGTAAATACCGGAAAAAGCTATTAGAGTCCCACGAGTACAACATTCAGTGAGATCTTAGTGGGAGGGCTGGACTTCAGAATTGCTTTGGCCGGTACTGCAGCTCCTGACCAAGAGAGATGATGCTACAGCCTCTTCCTCGCTAAGGCAGAGGCCCTCTAACTCACGGAGGTCCTGCAGAGAAAGCCTTGCTTCCAACACGGAGAGGTGAAGAAAAGGCCGCAGACAGCCTCCCACAGGCCTTCACACTTCAGGGTACTGGGATCCTCCCATGCATGTGATCATTTCCCAAAGCTTGAAAAACTTCTGATTCGATTTTTCTCAAAGTAGTCACAGGAGTACTGGGATGTGGGCAAATAAACTTTATATTTTTCTTTTTCATTCTCCTCATCCTTGTTCTTTCTCAAAGAGCTTTAACCTTCTTTTTAAATTTTATTTATATTTTGGCTGCGCTGGGTCTTAGCTGTGGCACGCGGGATCTTCCTTGCAGCATGCGGGATTTTTTAGCTACAGCATGCGAACTCTTAGCTGCGGCCTGCATGCGGGATCTAGTTCCCCAACCAGGGATTGAACCTGGGCCCCCTGCACTGGGAACTCGGAGTCTTACTCTTACCCACTGGACCACCAGGGAAGTCCCAGGGAAGGTAAACTTTAAAAGCTGGTAAACTCCCTCAGGCTAAATCGAGATAGTTATCTCTGCTTCATTCCTTCTCTGACCTTGTTTCTTTATCAAAATAAATAAATAAATAAATAAATAAATAAATAAATAAATAAATAATGTATTTACAATATCTCGCAAACATTATCAGAACTGATATTTTGGATTTTGTTGAGAAGCAATTTAGCATGTTTAAAAGGTGGGGTTTCTTTTTGTGTTTGTTTTTATTTTAGATCATGGTGGCTGAAGCTTTTTGGGGGAAGTGATTGAGAGGCCCTGAAATTTTTTACCCTCATTTTCGTTTATTTGTTGAAGACATAGTTTAAGTTAGAAGATGGATAGAATCTAAGCAGAAAGTATCTTTCATCAAGCAACCTTCATTTACTGCAACCTACCATTTACTGCAAGCAGGTATTTACTTTTCAAATAACATGATCTCCAAATGTCAAAATGACTTATCCTTCCCGTGTATGAAATGTGCCAGTGAAGGACCCTCTGAGTCAGAAGTACAGTTGATCCAAGATAATGATTCCAAGATAATGTGAAATTGTTTAAGGGCAGGGCAGATAGAGTGAGGATCATTCATCTCTCAGACATCATCTGTACCTTTTCTGCCACCCACATATCCAGTTAGTAACAGCAGGCCTAATGCTACAGCAGCTAACCTACTTTCTGAACATAAATGACTTAACCATGGGAGGTAAGCTAATTCTTTAAAAGGTTACATTAAGTCAGCCACCTTGTGCAGAGTGTAAATGTCTGTTTTCCATCTAATCAAATTACTCTCCAATGCTATTAGTCATCTTAACATAGGACTTAATATTTACTGCTTGAAACAGCAACTATGACACATTACAAAAGTCGTTTAAATAATGCAATAATAACATTTGCAAATTTCTCCACCAAGTTCCCTTTCGTCTCCTCCTTCCATCCCTCCTTTAGCACTCACCTTCCCTCTGTGGCAAGTGATAAAAATGTCTACAGCAGGCGGCCTGGCTTTCTTAGATCTAAACTAAAAGAAGTTTGGTACAGTAGTTCACATTTCAGTGCAACACATGGCAGCTCCACTATGAATAAAACTCCTTTAAACCCGTACCTTCTCTCTGCTGCTATGAGCAGTTAAAGACCTTTGTGCCGCCCCACGAAGAGCTGTTCGATAATTGTAGAAATTGCTTGAAGGGTCCATCTGATGCTGAAGACGAAAGAGAAGAGTATTAACTACACACTCCTCACCTGCAGCAAGTTTACGAGACCTCACTTTTAACACCACATAAAAAAATTCCAAATAATTCAGGCGCAAAATGTTACGCAACAGCAAAACAGCAGCTCCACATACCTCAAGAACGTCAAACTTGGCTGTCTTCACTTTGGCCCAAGTTTTTTTCAGTCGAGAGACTGGGCTCATATTCATGCCGGCTTCCAAGTTAAAATGGAGGGGGAGAAAAAGAAGGTGGAAATAGAGAAATAAGAGAGGTCATTCTAACCTATGTTCTGAAAAAGTGTTCATTACTAAGTGGAAGGAAGTTAACTTTATACAAAAAACCTGCCAAACGATTTTCCAGAGTAGTGGTCCCATCTCATACCACCACCCATGTCTGAGAATTCTACTTGGTCCACATCCTCACCATATTTGGTTCAACTAGTCTTCTTAATTTCAGTCACTCCCATGTGTGAAATGCTATCTCACTGTGATTTTCATTTTAATTTGTATTTCTCTGATGACTAATGATGTAGAGCATCTTTTCATATACTTACTAGCCATCAGTATATCTTCTTTTGTGAAG